CATCTTGCCAGAAGTCCTCTTAGGTTTTTATAATAGTGGTTTCATACAACATTTGTCCCTTTGTGATTGACTTATTTCACTCAGCATAATGCCCTCCAGATTCATCCATGTTGTGAGATGTTTCGTGGATTCATCATTGTTCTTCATCATTGCATAGTATTCCATGGTGTGTATGTACCATAATTTGTTTATCCGTTCATCTGTTGATGGACACTTAGGTTGTTTCCATCTTTTTGCTATTGTGAATAATGCTGCAGTGAACATGAGTGTGCATGTGTCTCTTCATGTGATGGCTCTTATTTCTCTAGGATATATTCCTAGGAGTGAGATTGCTGGGTCTTATTGTATTTCTATTTCTAGCTTTTTAAGGAAGTGCCGTATCGTTTCCCATAGTGGTTATATCATTTTACGTTCCCACCGGCAGCGCATAAGAGTTCCAGTCTCCCCACAACCTCTCCAACATTTGTTATTTTCTGTTTTTTTGATTAGTGCCAGTAACGGGGTGAAATGGTATCTCATTGTAGTTTTGATTTGCATTTCTTTAATGGCTAATGATCGCGAGCATTTATTCATGTGTTTGTTAGCCGCCTGATTGTCTTCTTTGGTGAAGTGTCTGTTCATACCCTTTGCTCATTTTTTGAATGGATTATTTGTCTTTTTTGTTGTTGAAGTATTGAAGTATTACATAGATTTTAGAGCTTAGACCCTTGTCGTATTATGTTGTAGCCAAAATTTTTTTCCCAGTCTGTAGGTTCTCTTTTTTACTGTTTTGGTGAAGTCTTTTGATGAGCATAACTGTTTAATTTTTAGGAGCTCCCAGTTCTCTAGTTTCTTTTCTGGTGTTTATGCATTGTTAGTTATGGTTTGCATTGTATTTATGCCATGTATCAGGGCCTTTAGTGTAGTCCCTATATTTTCTTCCACAATCTTTATCATTTTAGGTTTTATTTTTAGGTCTTTGATCCATTTTGTGTTAGTTTTTGTGTATGGTGTGAGATGTAGGTCCTGTTTCATTTTTTTATAGATGGACATTCAGTTTTGCCAGCACCATTTGTTAAAAAAACTGTCTTTTTCCCATTTAATGGACTTTGGTCCTTTGTCAAAGATCAGCTGACCATAGGTGGATGAATTTACATCTGGGTTCTCGATTGTGTTCCATTGTTCTATGTGTCTATCGTTGTACCAGTACCAGGCTGTTTTTGACTACTGTGGCTGTATAGTAGGTTCTAAGATCAGGTAGTGTGATGCCTCCTACTTTGTTCTTTTTCATCAGTAATGCTTTTCTTATCCAGAACCTCTTTCCTTTCCATATAAAGTTGGTGATTAGTTTTTCCATCTCGTTAAAGAATGCTGTTGGTATTTAGATCAGGATTGCATTGTATCTGTAGATCACTTTGGGTAGAATTGACATTTTCATATTGTTGAGTCTTCCTATCCATGAGCATGGTATGTTTGTCCTTTTATATGGACCTCTTTTGGTTTCTTGCAATAGTGTTTTGTCCCCAAATTTTGGTTTGACTTATGTTTCCTCATGATTAGATTCAGGTTATGCATTTTTGGCAGGAATAATATAGAAGGGATATATCCTTCTCAGTTAATCATACCATGGCACCTTTGTTTCTTCTTTCTGAAAGGTTCTGAAACTCTTAGCCTAGGATGGCCTACTCTTGGATAAAGCCTGATTTCTTTATTCATTATTCTAAATTCATACTTGGATCCAGTCTTACTAACTGCTCTCCTGGGACCCCTGTTTTCATTCTGTCGGTCTCTGTCCTATAGCTGCCCATAGCAGGCTTCCTGTCATCACCTCTGGTTCATAGCCAATGCCCCCATTGGACCTCCCATTAAATTCTTGATTCCAGTGAAAGAGATCATATTTAGACTTAACAGTAGATGATCAATCCATTTCTGTCTTACTCTTTTCCCTGGATTCTCTTTGATTTATCACCTTATAACTCAAGTGCTTATTCTGTTCCTTATCCTGTGAAGCCGACATCCAGAATAGTGCTGTTTTTGCTATTATGGTCTTAATAGTAATAATAATAACAACAATAATGGGAGGTGGAGGGATAGCTAAAATTAATTGTTTACTCTGTACTGTGGACCATGCACAAGTTTTATCTCATTGAATCATGACTACAGTCCTATGTGATAATTACTATTATTGTTTTACAGATAAGGAAACAGAGACACATAAAGATTAAGTAACTTGATTAAGCCCATATAGTTGATTAGTGGTGGAACTGAGATCACTCAGTAAAAAGAAAAGGAATAATTTTGGATCCCCAGAGGTGGTAAATAAGTAGGAAAGGACTGTGATTCTGAGTGCCAATAAGCTTAGTTTAGTTACTAGTCAAGTTGAGGTATTCAGGAAGTAATTGGAGTTGAGAGGTTGGAAAATGATGAAAAGACTTTGTAGGAGATCTAAAATTGGGAGCCTTTTAGCATAGAAACAATAATAAAGTCTTTGGAATAGGTGAGCTTTCTGAGAAAGAAGTGTAGGAACGATGAGTCAAGGATTGACCACTATTTAGAAGTGATCACATTTAGGGAGACAGGAGAGGAGCTAATAAAGAAGAGAATCAAGGAGAAGTCTGTGTCATGTCTGTATATACAAAGCATAGGAAAATGGAAATTATATATTATTAGTTTTTTAAAATTGTATGATACAGAACACACACATACACAGAACCCAAACACATCATAAAAACAGTGGAGGAAGTCTTGAAACCAAACAGTAGCTTGGCTTAACTAGTAAAAAAAAGTCTGCCTTGAGCGTTGTGCTCTTTTAAGAACTATTTGTATGGAATCAAATTGACAACAGCATCTCGAAAGATTAGATAGGAACCTTAGGGGGAAGTGAGTTTATGTTAATGGGGGAGGAACAGCTGCAAAAAGGAGGGTGAAAATGGTTGCACAACTCAACGAATGTAATCAGTGTCACTGATTTGTACATGTAGAAACTGTTGAATCGGTGTATGTTTTGCTATGTATATCTGAAGCAACGACAACAAAATTTAAAAAACAAGTGGAGAAGATACACATCAAACTGTTAACAATGGCTATCTTTGGGGGGGTGAGATAATACAAAATTTTTACCTTCTGCTTTATGCATTCCTCTACTCATTGAATTTTAGTGATGATTTTATATTATTTTTATTATCATAAAGGAAATAGTGAATATCCTGGCTGTTGTGTCCCTCCGTGACCTGGCTCCTCCCTCCTCCCTAGTGTCTTTCCCACTCCTTTCCAACATACTCCCCACTGTTCCCTATGAGTGTCTTCTGGTTTTTTGTATCAGTAAATATTGAATAATCAAGGAATGATGAAACTAGTAAATGAAATTTTCATCTCTGTCCTTAGACTATGCTTTTCCTGACTTAACTGAGAAGGCAGGTCCTATGGAAGACACAAGCCAGGCCCAAGAGGTGCCAAGCCTCCCTTCTCCCTTGCCCAAGATGAATCTGGTTGAGCCACCCTGGCATATACCTCCTGAAGAGGAGGAAGAAGAAGAGGAGAGGGAAAAGGAAGAGGTAGAGAAGGAAGAGGAGGAGGAGGAGGAAGAAGAGGAGCTGCTCCCTGTGAATGGATCCCAAGAAGAAGCCAAAACTCAGTTCCATGACTTTTCTCCCACCAGCAGTAGCCAGACTCCAGGGTCCACCAAACTCAGGCAAGAAGATTCTGGGGACCAGGCCTCGTCGGGTGTGGAGGTGGAGAGCAGCATGGAGCCAAGCTTGTCACCGTTTTCAGTCACCCCCAATACAGTGACCCTGGGGCATCAGGACTTTACCAGCCCAGAGGCAGGGGGCACAATGCTGCCAGGTGCAGGGTTTGGGGCAGAGTTTGAGGCTCCTCAGGAAGTGGGTAAGGAGGCTACTGTGGGAGCAGCTGGATTGGCTGGCAAACAAGGGGAGGTGCTGTCCTTGACATCATTTCCACAAATGAAAGTTCCAAGTGGGACTGAGACTCTCAAAGAAGATCACCTTCACCCCAGAACCTTAGCGCCTTTCTCACTGGCCCCCCAAGACATGGAACTGACACCTTCCTCTGCTACTTTGGGGCAAGAAGACCTCAACCAGCAACCCCAGGAAGGGCAAGCAGCTGAAGCTCAATCTAGAATACCCTGGGATTCTACTCAGGTAAAGTGAAGGCCCATGCAGGCCATCAGTCTGCACCTTCCTCTGTGGAGCCTGGCCATATCCAGGGTTGGTGCAGCCTGCTATGGCATTTGCCAGGCTGAGGATGGAGGCCTTTTCTACAGCACATATAACCCCAAGAGAACATACCTCATGGCCCAGTAATGGGCATTCTCACCACTCTTACATGCAAAGACCCTGTGAAAAGCTTGGTGTCCCTGGCCTGGTTTTCACCGAACACAGGTGCTACTGCTGTCACCCTTGGCCTGCCCCACTGCTTATGACAGCTGCTGAGGGTTGGTGCCTGACCCATGCTCTCCCCCATCCCCACTCGCATCACCATATGTGCAGTCACTCTACTGTCCTCATCACCTCCCTGCCTGCCCCGCTCCCCTCCGCCCCATTCAGGAGTCAGTGCTCATACCCACAGAACTCAGAAGGAAAGGGGTCCTAAGTTGTCAGCCTGTGTCTGCCCTATAGGTATATTTTCATTTGACCTACAGAATAGTAAAAATTTTACCACTGAAAGCCTTTAAATGGAGGAAGCCCTCTGCGGTCTGCCCCTTGGCCACAGTTTCCCACTTCCTGTGTATCATGACCTCCTCTCACTTAAGACACTCTCTGCTTAGTCCCTGAAGACATTAGAGTTTGTGAACCCTGCGCTAGATCCTTGGCATGTCATCTCCGAGAGGTTGTCACCTCCCACCTAGCTATACCAACCTATACCTGGCCTTCACTTTCTAGCTTCTCAAAGAGTTTCGACCATGCTCTCTCCCTGATGGCTCTCCTTATGCCTGTGTAACTGTAGCCCTTCTTTTTGTTTTATTGTACAGGTGATCTGCAAGGACTGGAGCAACCTGGCTGGGAAAAACTACATCATTCTGAACATGACAGAGAATATAGACTGTGTGAGTGCTAAGCCCAGGCGGGGGAGGAGGGGACTGCAATGAAAGGCCGGAGGCAGGCAGGCAGAGTGGGGAATGGGAAATGAGGCCAGGGACAGGGGATGGAGTGGAAGGCTTAATCCTTAAATCAGAGAGGGCCGCCTAACCCAAGATACGAACCAGCAGCACCCACCAACGTCAAAATAGAAGAGGGCTTTCATATTTTTACATTTCTAAAGACTTGTTCTTGGTCTCCTCTGCCTTTTAAAGGAATAGTTTTATTCATGTGTGCAATATCTTATCTGAGGATATTGAAATCTTTTTTGTTTTTGTTTTTAAGTTGTGTTCTTTCTGTATAGTCTTGTTTTTTCCAGGTTGCTCTCCCCCATTTGTTTGTTTTGGTCTCAGTTTTTCATGTGTGCTTTCCTCAAATGTGTGGTGGTGTCTGTTCATCTGTATTTAAGGAGGGCTATCAAAAAGCTGATTGGAAGCTTTGAGCTTGTTAGTAGGGCTCGTTAACTGTGGCTTCTCAGAAGGGTGATCCGGCTGGGCCATTTCATTTGGAAATTTCTAATATAAGCAGCTTTAGATCTTTCCTCCCAGAGTGATTAGATTCTTTGAAAAAGGAATTTCTGTTCTACTGGGAGTATAAAGGGATAGTTGCTGGTGTTCTGGGAGCCAAGGTGGGGCAAGAGGGCTGGGTGTCTTGTAGACAAACATGTCTACGTAAATTTCATTATAAATGTTTAATCCCTGTCTAAGTCATCTAGCGCTGCTATAACAGAAATACCACAAGTGGATGGCTTTATCAAAGAGAAATTTATTCTCTCACAGTCTAATAGGCTACAAGTCCACATTCAGGGCATCAGCTCCAGGGAAAGGCTTTCTCTGTCAGCTTTGGACTAGGAGCTTCTCCGCACAGAAACCCCGGGTTGAAAGGACGCGCTCTGTTCCTGGTGCTACTTTCTAGGTGGTATGAGGTTCCCATGTCTCTCTGCTCGCTTCTCTCTTTTATATCTCAAAAGAGATTGGCTTAAAGACACTATCTGATCTTGTAGCTCTCATCAATATAACTGCTGCTAATCCATCTTATTACGTCATAGTGCTAGAGTTTACAACACATAAGGAAATCACATCAGATTACAAAATGGTACATAGTCATACAATACTGGGAATCATGACCCAGCCAAGTTGACAGATATTTTTGGGGGACACAGTTCAATCCATGACACTCCACCTGTTTGCTGTATGAACCCCACACCCAGTGGTGCCTGGTGTTCTCTAGTTCAGAGATCCTGTATTTTGTTCTCTTTCAAGAATAAACTTCCAGTCTTCTGCCAGGGAGGAGGGACATTTGTCAGCTGTTCAGCATTGGGGAGAAGATTTAGGAATCCAGGTGTTTCTTGAACAGACTTTCAGCCAGTTTTCATGTTTTTAGCACTATCTTCATCCTTTTTTCCAAAAGTAACCAGCTGCGTATTCTGGAGCTTTTGGGGAGGCCAGACAATATAAATCTGACTGCTTGTCAGCTCTCCCATTGTTAGCTTAGGATTTGTCTCCTTAGGGTTCACTGAATCAGGAATTTCCTACTCATCAGTCTGCTTCTGGCATCCATATTTTGTTGCTCTTGTTTTCTCTTGTTTTTGTCTTCGTGGTTTTAGACTTTAAAACAATTCCCTACCCTTGATTTAATGTGTTAAGGGGAGGAGTGAAGGTACATGCATGTGTTTAATCCGAAAGTGACCAATGAAGTTTTTGTTTTGTCTTTTTTTTTAGTATCATTATAAGTTGATGAATTTTAGCGTAATTGATATTTGCGTGTTTACATAATTGAGCCATTACAGTTATTATTTCTTATTGATACCCCATCTTTGGCTGGTGAAACCCCTTTCAAATTGGCTTCTGAGTCCTTGTGATCAATTTACTAGTGTTTGAGAGCTTCCTTGCTTTTTTGGTATAACATGATGTTCCAGGCTCATTCTGTACCTTCCCTTTCCCAGACGTGGAACATCAACATTTCTCCAAGAAGCCCTCGTTCCTTTTACTGGGAAGGTACTTAGAGACCACAGTATGGGCACTTGGGACCCTTAAATTTTTGGAATGCATACTTGAACAAAAAAGGTAATGCCTCTCTTCTCTTTCCAGACAACACATAGATGTTGTCTTAGTTATCTAGTGCTTCTATAACAGAAATACCACAAGTGGATGGCTTTAACAAACAGAAGTTTATTCTCTCACAGTTTAGGAGGCTAGAAGTCTGAATTCAGGGCACCATCTCCTGGGGAAGGCTTTCTTTCTCTGCCAGTTCTGTGGGGAGCCCTTGTCATCAATCTCCCCCTGGTCTAGGAGCTTCTCAGCACAGGGACCCTGGATCCAAAGGATGTGCTCCGCTCCCAGTGCTTCTTTTCTTGGTGACATGAGGTCCCTCTCCTCTCTGCTCCATTCTCTCTTTTATATTTCAAAAGAGATTGACTCAAGATACAGCCTAATCCTGTAGATTGAGTCCTGCCTCATTAACATAACTGCCTGTAATCCTGCCTCATTAACACCATAGAGGTTAGAATTTACAACACATAGTATAATCATATCAGATCACCAAATGGTGGACAACCATACAATACTGGAAATCATGGGGGAACACAATTCAATCCATAACAGATGTTAAACTGCTTTTATTGTTTTTTCTGTTTTTGTCTTCTGTGTTAATTTTATTTAATATTTGACATCCACCTAATTAGTCACCGTTATTAACAGCCAGTGCTTATATAGCTTTATGAATATTTTATTAGTTTCTCTGCTCACACGTCTTCTCACATTCCACTCCTTTCTTCTGGGTTTGGCTTCCTTCTATCTGAAATACATCCTTTTGTAGCTCTTTTTGCAAGGATCTCTCAGCCTTTATTTCTCTAAAAAATGTCTTTTATTATTTTTTTTGTTGTAAGTTTTAATTTTGATATTATTTCAAACTAGAGCATGGTACAAAGAACTCCCATATACCTTTCACCCAGATTCACCAGTTGTTAGCATTTTGCCAAACCATTTGAGAGGAAGTTGAAGGCATCATTCACCTTCACCCCTACCCTTAAATATGTTAGTGTGTGTTTCCTCAGAATAAGAATATTCATTTACAGAACCATGGTATAGTTATCAAAACTGTTATCTAATCTACAAATCTTATTTAAATTTCACCAATGGTCTCAATAATGTCCTATAGCTTTTTTTCCTCCTGGTCCAGGATCATGCATGTCTGTTTAGTCTCTTTTAATCTGAAGCATTTCCTCAGCCTTTGATTGTCTTTAATGATACTGTTGAAGAGTATGAACCAAATATTTGGTAGAATGTTCCCTCAGTTAGGTTTGTCTGATGTTTTCTAATGATTAGCGTTAGATAGTACATTATTGGAAGGAATACTACTTGGATGATGTGTGGCTTCCTCAGTGTATCACATCAAGAGGTACATATATTGGTTTGTCTCCATATTTGATTACTTGGTTAAGGTGGTATCTGCCAGCTTTCTCCACTCTAAAGTTAGTATTTTTTCCTATTGTAATTAAGACTTTGAGATTATGTAGACATCTTATTCTTCGTCAAACTTTTATCCATTAGTTTTAGTGTCCATTGATGATTCTTGATTGAACCAGTTATTGCTAGTTGTTGTTAGGTGCTGTCAAGTTGGTTCTGACTCATAGCAACCCTGTGTACAACAGAATGAAACACTGCCCAGTCCTTTACCATCCTCACGATTGTTGTTATACTTGAGCCCATTGTTGCAGCCACTGTCAGTTCACCTCATTGAGGATCTTCCTCTTTTTCGCTGACCGTTTACCAAGCATGATGTCCTTCTCCAGCGACTGATCCCTCCTGATAATATGTCCAAAGTATATGAGACGTAGTCTCAGCATCCTTGCTTCTAAGGAACATTCTGGCTGTACTTCTTCCAAGACGGGTTTGTTCTTTTGGCAGTCCATGGTGTTTTCAGTATTCTTTGCCAACACCATTAACTCAGAGGTGTCAGTTCTTCTTCTGTCTTCCTTATTCATTGTTCAGCTTTCGCATGCATATGAGGCAGTTGAAAACACCGTGGCTTGGGTCAGGCGCACCTTAGTCTTCAAGATGACATCTTTGCTGTTTAGCACTTTAAAGAGATCTTTGCTAGAGAGGTTGCAAAATGTGATTTTCTAACTCTAATTTCCTCCTATATTCATTAGTTGGTATTCTACTGAAAGAAAGAGTTTTTCCTTTCCTTTCTTTTCATGCATGTATGTATGTATGTATGTATTAATATGGAGTCATCATGGGTTATTGTTTTATCAAATAGGTTATAATCCATTACTGTCATTATTTATTTTGATATTCAAATTATCACAGGTTTGACCAATGGGGCACCTTTCAGGATGACTTTTATGATCTTTTAACATAGTCCCGTAAATCTGTAAAAAATTTATCAAGAACAGATTTATTGAACAAAGATTTACTTGGGATATAAAAGAGACCATTATGCCATGCTGCATATCATTATTTACAAAATTCACTTTATATTTTATGGCAAAATATATTATGGGGGAAGGGTTGCTTTACGTTTCTTACTAAATTAAACATAATCATGTTTTTCCCTGCTGTTTTCTTCAACTACCTGTCTTCTTGCAGGGCTGAGTATGTCGTTGCCGTTGAGTAGGCTCAGACTCATAACAACCCTATGTACAACATAATGAAACATTTCTCAGTCCTGTACCATCTTCCTGATTGGGGTTGGATATAGATAGCTGCTTCAAACACAATTATTTTTACAAGAGCTAGGCATTTTCAATGTCTTGAATTCTTCTAGTTCTCATTTTCTTTGTTGGTGTACTGTTTTTATCCTGTTTCAGATTTTTAGTAGCTGTTTCCTCAGAAGGGAGCCCTGGTGGTGCAGTGGTTAAGAGCTCGGCTGCTAACCAAAAGGTCTGCAGTTTGAATCCACCAGCCGCTCCTTGGAAACCCTTTGGGGCAGTTCTACTCTGTCCTATAGGGTCACCATGAGTTGG